AAGGAAGGAAGGAAGGAAGGCAGGCAGGCAGGCAGGCAGGCAGGAAGGAAGGAAGGAAGAAAGAAAGAAAGAAAGAAAGAGATGGAGGGAGGGAGGGAGGGAGGAATTAAGGAAGGAAGGAAAGAAGGAGGGAGGAATTAAGGAAGGAAGGAAGGAAGGGAGGGAGGGAGGGAGGGAGGGAGGAAGGAAGGAAGGAAGGAAGGAAGGAAGGAAGGAAGGAAGGAAGGAAGGAAGGAAGGATATTCTAACTCATCCTAAACATGAAGTACGAAAATGAAGCTTCTTTCAGGACATGGAAAGAGAACTTTCAGAAGACCAAAGTCACATTTAGGTGAAGTCACGTTGCTCTTTGGGATGTTACCGCCCTACCAGATATATCCTCTACCTTGCAAGTCTGGTTACCCTTACCCTCTTACCGAGACCATTTTTTTTTCTCCCTTTCCTTCCCCCTCTGAACAGCTGCGTTCCCCATTCTTGCAAGACCCGGGACTGCCAGGAGTTGGAAATCGAGAACGCCATGCTGACTTTCACCGACGGGGGGCGCTACAATGGTGCCCAGTGTAATGTCACCTGCCAGGCAGGTTACGTCCTCCGGGTTCACAGAACGGACCATCTGCCCCAGAGACAGGTTGGTGGAACTGGCATACACCGTCTGCTGTGTGACGTGTTCATTCCGCAAACTGTACATAGCAGGGGTCTTCTAACCCTTTCATGATGTGTGGACTTCAACTCCCAGGCACGCTGGCTGAGGAGTTCTGGGAGTTGAAGTCCACAAGCAGGGGTCTTCCAACTTGGCCCTTTCATGACTTGTGGACTTCAACTCCCAGAATTCCTCAGCCAGGCACGCTGGCTGAGGAATTCTGGGAGTTGAAGTCCACAAGCAGGGGTCTTCCAACTTGGCCCTTTCATGACTTGTGGACTTCAACTCCCAGAATTCCTCAGCCAGGCACGCTGGCTGAGGAATTCTGGGAGTTGAAGTCCACAAGCAGGGGTTTTCCAACTTGGCCCTTTCATGACTTGTGGACTTCAACTCCCAGAATTCCTCAGCCAGGCACGCTGGCTGAGGAATTCTGGGAGTTGAAGTCCACAAGCAGGGGTCTTCCAACTTGGCCCTTTCATGACTTGTGGATTTCAACTCCCAGAATTCCTCAGCCAGGCACGCTGGCTGAGGAATTCTGGGAGTTGAAGTCCACAAGCAGGGGTCTTCCAACTTGGCCCTTTCATGACTTGTGGACTTCAACTCCCAGAATTCCTCAGCCAGCGTGCCTGGCTGAGGAATTCTGGAAGTTGAAGTCCACAAGTCATGAAGGGGCCATAGTTCCCCCATGCTGGCTGAGGAATTCTGGGAGTTGAAGTCCACAAGTCATGAAGAGGCCATAGTTCCCCCATGCTGGCTGAGGAATTCTGGGAGTTGAAGTCTGCAAGTCATGAAGGGGCCATAGTTCCCCTATGCTGGCTGAGGAATTCTGGGAGTTGAAGGCCACAAGTCATCAAAGGGCCACGTTTGAAGTCCCCTGGTTTATAGCTACCCATCTCACCCAAGGTGACTCTGATGGGAGAGTCCTCCGGGAGAAGGGCGGGGTATAAATGAAATAAATAAATAAATGAAGGGGCCATAGTTCCCCCATGCTGGCTGAGGAATTCTGGGAGTTGAACTCCACGAGTCATCAAAGGGCCACGTTTGAAGTCCCCTGGTTTATAGCTACCCATCTCACCCAAGGTGACTCTGATGGGAGAGGCAGGCTCACCAGCTGGGAAATTAGCCTTGCTGTGGGGTCTCTGTTGGCTATGGACTTGCAGGGAGTCGACTGTGATAACACAGGATGTTGGTAGTCCTTCACTTACGACCGCAACTGAGCCCCAAATTGTATGTTGCTAAGTAAGAAATGTGCCCCATTTTACGACTTTCCTTGCCCCCTTTGCTAACCGAATCAATTCCTTCGTTAAACGGCTGTCCAATCTCTTCTTAAAAACCTCCAGTGATGGAGCACCCACGATTTCTGGAGGGAAGCTGTTCCACTGGTTAATTGTCCTCACTGTTAGGAAATGCCTCCTTAGTTCTAGCTTGCTTCTCTCCTTGATTAGTTTCCATCCGTGTTTTCTTGTCCTGCTTTCAGGGGCTTTGGAGGACAGCTTGACTCCCTCTTCTTTGGGGCAGCCGCCCAGATATTGAAACACAGCTATCATGTCTCCCCTGGTCCTTCTTTTCATTCAACGTAGACATACCCAATTCCTGCAACCCAACGCTCTTTGCATTCCCGACTTTCCTGGCAGATGCCAAGAAAGCACCAAGCTATTCAAGCAGAGCTGTTTTTGCCACGAGCATTGCAAATAAATAAACCCTAAAGCACGGGGTGGGAGGGGAGGAGAAGTAAACGGAGGAGGAGGAGAAACAGGGATACACCTCATTGCCTGCAAGACACCGAGAGGCTGTTTATTAGGAGGTCTTTGGGGAGAGAGTCTGGTGGATGTCTTTGACCTTGCTATCGCCATCCAAAGGAAGGGGCCTTCCTTTGGCAGCCAGCAGAGACCAAATTTGTCTGGGTGTCAGAAGGGTGGCGTCTTCCCGTAAGGAACAGGAAGATACGTTGAGTTTTCTCAATTTAGAAGAGCGAACTCAACCATCTGGGCCTCCGTTGCTGCGCGAGCTTTTTTTTACCCTAACACGGCCCCAGCACTGACTGGCTTCTTTCTCTTCCAGGAGAAAGTTGGCTGTCTCTTTTCCTTCTCCAACCTGCCCCCCCTCAACACACACACACACACACACGCACACATACACACACACACACACACACACACACACTCCACCCAAGCCCGAACGGCTTGTTTGTTTCTCTCTCTTATGGGCTGTTTGCAGCCAAAGAGAATCCAGAGATTTTCAGGAAAAAAGAAAAGAGAATCGGATAGTTTCCCCCAATTATTCTCTCTCTCTCTCTCTCTCTCTCTCTCTCTCTCTCTCTCTCTCTCTCTCTCTCTCTCTCTCTCTCTCTCTCTCTCTCTGTGTGTGTGTGTGTGTGTGTGTGTGTGTGTGTGTGTGTGTGTGCACACGCACACATCTTAATTTGGCACCGACTCTCTGCTATCAACATATCCGTAGACTACGCCGGAGGTTTTCTGTTGCTTATGGTTTGCGAAAGGCCCCAGCTTTTCCTGAACTCAGAAGGATGGGAGAGATTTGTGCTGAGGTGGGGGAAGAGAGAGAGAGGGGGGGGGAGAAGGAAGAGAGAGAAGTAGGCAAGAAGAGAGAGAGGGAAGGAAAAGAGAGAAGGAAGGAAGAGAGGGAGGGGGAAGGGAGAAAGACAGAGGGAAGGAAAACAGAAGGAAGAGAGAGAAGGAAGAGAGAGGGAGAGGGAAGAGAGGGAGAAGGAACAAGGGGGGAAGGAAGAGAGAGGGGGGGAGAAGGAAGAGAGAGGGAAGGAAGGGAGAGAGAGAGGGAAGAGAGGGAGAAGGAACAAGGGGGGAAGGAAGAGAGCAGGAGGGAAGGGAGAGAGAGGGGGGGAGAAGGAAGAGAGAGAGAGAGACTGTTTAATTCAGTGGCACACCAAACAGGATCACAATCCCTCCTGCTCTACCCCATGACCTGGATTTTCTCATGTTCAACCCCACCTCTGTGGCCAAGAAGAGCAGAAAGCTGGTTCTGCAAGGAGGCTGAGATGGATGGATAGAAGGAAGGAAGGAAGGAAGGAAGGAAGGAAGGAAGGAAGGAAGGAAGGAAGAACTTGCAGGCCAGACTGACTGTCCAGAGAAGGCGAGTCTACTAACTAAATACAGCCGGGCTTATAGATTTCACCAACAGAGCAATGTGTGTGTGTGTGTTTGTGTGTCTGTGCGCGCATGTGTTTGTATTGATGTTAAGAACCAGAGCCAACTCATGTGCCTGGTTTTGATCAAGGGGTTTTGTTCTCCAAAGCAAACAGGGATGCCTACTTCATTTCACCACCCTGCCCTACTCTGGTTACTCGGTTGGACCACAGCCCCCACCGTGGCTCTGGGATGCCCCACCACATCTGGCCAAGTGTGATTGGACACGCAAGGAACATGGTCTCCTGCTCGAGCAGAAGACCTCCGAGGTCCCTCCCGACTCTATCATTCCATGTTCTCTATATACACGTGGAATAAACATATATATTAACCACAAAAAGGCATCCAGTCCAGGGGTGGGGTGGGGGTCTAGTTCTGGCTCCCTACATCGGCAGCACGTTCTTTGGAAGCCCCCAGGGTATATTAAGAGCCCCCCTTCCTTTGCCAAGGGGGAAATTTGGACACGGTTCCATTTGGGCAGGGGGGAATAAAAACCAGGAGAGAAGCTATTGCAGGATACAAGGTCCTGGTTTGAAATGGGCCCAGTCTGACTTCATTAACCCTGTTTCCCTCCTTTCAGTGGGAGCCCACCACCACCCTGACATGCCTCGATGGGGAATGGAACAAGCGGGTCTCCTGTGAGCCCATTGACTGCAGGATCCCGGACCAGCACCACGTCTACCCTGCTACTTTTAATTGCAGCGAAGGGACCACCTTTGGCAAGCGGTGCACTTTCGCCTGCAAGCCTCCCGCTCAGCTGAAAGGTCAGTTCTCGACTGGATCCGTGATGCTTTGGAGAACCCACGGGAGAGCAGAAGAGCAGAGTTGGAAGGGACCTTGGAGGTCCTCTAGTCCAACCCTCTGCTTAAGCAGGAGGCCCTGGCCTATACCATTTTAGACGCATGGCTGTCCGGTCTGCACCAGAAGGCAAGATAAGAAAACACCTCCTTCTCTTTCGAGGCAGGAGAGCTTTTAGTATCCTGCTTGAAGAAGAAAGAGAAAGAGAAAGAGAAAGAGAAGGAGGGTGTCTTTTGATAAAGTTTGAATTGATCCTAAACCACCACCATCTTCCTCTTCTCCTTCTCCTTCTTCTCCTCCTCGTCCCTCTCCCCTCCCCCTCTCCTCCTCGTCCCTCTCCTCCTCCTCCCTTCAAACCCTCTCCCTTCTAATACTGATGATGTTATGAAACATCTGCAAGAAAACAACCAAGCTCAGAGAACACCAAGGACCTCATTGTCCTCCTCCTCCTCCTTCTCCTCCTTCTCCTTCTCCTCCTCCTCCTCCTTCTCCCTCTTCTCCTCTCTTCAAACCCACTCCCTTCTAGTACTGATGATGTTATGAAACATCTGCAAGAAAACAACCAAGCTCAGAGAGCACCAAGGACCTCACAGTCCTTCTCCTTCTCCTTCTCCTCCTCCTCCTCCTCCAAGGCAGGAGACACCTTACACTATCCTGGCGGAAGGAGAAGGAGAAGGCAATTCTAAATGCTGAATCAATGGGCTGTGACTAACACTGATCAGTCACTGCGCTGCATGTTGGGGCCAGAGCCGGGGATGACTCAGTCCAAACTCAATCCCCAATGTCACACCAGCCACTGTTTCTTAATGTCACAGTTCATCACCCTGCCGAAACAAGCATGAGATCATCCATGCTGGACTGTGGTGGACATGCCGGGTGAGTCAGACTGGAGAAAGCAGAGAAGCTGGCACAGGAAAGGAGCATTCAGAGGAGTCCAAGAATACCTCATCAGCTCAAAAGCAGACAGAAAGGTGTCAGGGTTGTTTTCCTTCTTCCCTGCAACTCCTGTTCTGGATTCGGAAGGGCCTCTTAATAAACATTCTTGATCACTGATGGTCATCCTTGCCAGTCTTCTGCGAGAGAAATTAAGGTCCTCTCAGAGACCGGAAATTGTAAGGCAAAGCTCGTGTCCCGGTAGTTTTGGCTGAGCTTGGATTTGAAGAAGTCTGGCTGAATGCAAGGGAAGACGTTGGAGAACGGGAAGCATTAGAGCCTGGTGGCGCAGTGGTTAGAATGCGGTACTGCAGGCTAACTCCGTGCTCCCTGCCAGCAGTTCGATCCAGGGTTGATTCGGCCTTCTATCCTTCCGAGGTCGGTAAAACGAGGGCCCAGATTGTTAGGGGGCAACAGGCTGACTCTGTAAAGCGCTTAGAGAGGGCTGTGGAAGCACCGTGAAGCAGTAGATAAGTCTAAGGGCTGTTGTTACTGCTACTGTTGAGGTGGGTGGAGCACCTTACTAAGTTGGTAGGCCACTTCAAATAGCAGCTTCAAGTCAAATGGTGTCATTCTTGGTAAAGGAAAAGAAAAAAAAGGGGGGGAGAGGGAAGTTTGGCCTGTCTGAGGATGATTCTGAAAAAAGGATAATTGGGAAGTCTGAGATTCAGGGGGGCGGGGGAGTTGGATGGATGGAGATTTTCAGAAATTTTCCTTGGATGGAATGGCCTCAGATTCCCCATTTTCCTCGGCATAAGTGTCAAACTCTACTTTTAATTTCCCCCCTGCCCAGTTTCTTCCCTTGCAAAGGAGGTGGTTTTGGGGTTTTTTCTGCCACTTTGTTTTCAAAGATGCTTTAGAACTTCTTTTGATGGTTTTAAAGCTTCTTTTATTGTTTTAAGATAGCAGAAACTCTCTTTCTCTCTCTCTCTCTCTTTCTTTCTCTCTCTTTCTCTCTCTCTTTCTTTCTTTCTCTCTATCTCTCTGTCTCTCTCTTTCTTTTTCTTTCTTTTTTTCTTTCTCTCTCTTCCTCTTTTTCTCTCTCTCTCTTCCTCTTTCTTTCTCTCTTTCTCTTTTTCTTTTTTCTCTCTCTCTTTCTTTCCCTTTCTCTGTCTCTTTCTTTCTCTCTTTCTCTCTCCCTCTTTCTCTCTTTCTCTCTTTCTTACTTTCTTTCTTTCTCTGTCTCTCTCTGTCTCTCTCTCTCTCTCCCCCCCCCTCTCTCTCTCTATCTATCTATCTCTATCTCTATCTCTATCTCTCTCACACACACAAAATCCAGGTTCCATCACCCTCCAGTTCTTGCTTCTTGATCTGAAAAAGCCACCTGAGTAGAAATTTCCCTTCGGAAAGCCCAAGATGACAAGCAAGTGGCCGGCAGGAAGTCAGCAGACTGTACAGTGAAAGGCAGAACAACTCAGAAAAATTAGATCCCACCTGTGAGAATTACACTGAGACTTTCTTTCCTATCCCTCTGCAGGCAACGGATTGAACCAAATGCCCATTTTTTATTGATTTATTTACTCCGGCACAGCAGTATTTATTACCGCTTGCACCCATCTGAATGACATTGTTTTTCCATCTTTCCCAGGAAGCAATAACAATTTGACATGCTTGGAAGACGGCCTGTGGTCCTTCCCGGAGGCTCTTTGTGAGCTGATGTGCAGGGCGCCTCCTGTGATTCCCAACGCTGATCTTCAGACGGGCCGCTGTCGGGTTCAGAAACACAAAGTGGGATCCTTCTGCAAGTATAAGTGCAGACCAGGCTACCATGTCCCAGGACCTTCGCAGAAAGCGAGGAAGTAAGTGGCATCTCCTCCCTGATCTGGGCATTCATCTATAAGCCGCTCTCTGGAACACACAGTAAACCACTGTAGATCATCAGGGGTTTTCCAACAGGAATAGGAATAGGAAAAGGAATAGGAATAGGAAGAGAAGAGAAGAGAAGAGAAGAGAAGAGAAGAGAAGAGAAGAGAAGAGAAGATGGAATGGAACAGAATATAGAATAGAATAGAATAGAATAGAATAGAATAGAATAGAATAGAATAGAATAGAATAGAATATAGAATAGGAATAGGAATAGAATAGGAGTAGAATAGAATAGAATAGAATAGAATAGAATAGAATAGAATAGAATAGAATAGAATATGGAGTGGAAGAGAAGAGAAGAGAAGAGAAGAGAAGAGAAGAGAGAAAATAAAATAGAATTAGAATAGAACAGAACAGAATAGAATAGAATAGATGCAATGGAGAATAGAATAGAATATAATAGAATAGAAAAAAATTATAGAATAGGAATAGGAATAGAATAGGAATAGAAATAGAATAGAATAGAATAGAATAGAATAGAATAGAATAGAATAGAATAGAATAGAATACGGAAGGGAAGGGAAGGGAAGGGAAGGGAAGGGAAGAGAAGAGAAGATAGAAAATAAAATAGAATTAGATTAGAATAGAACAGAACAGAACAGAACAGAACAGAACAGAACAGAATAGAATAGAATAGAATAGAATAGAATAAAATAGAATAGAATAGAATAGAATACGGAATGGAAGGGAAGGGAAGAGAAGATAGAAAATAAAATAGAATTAGAATAGAATAGAATAGAATAGAATAGAATAGAATAGAATAGAATAAAATAGAATAGAATAGAATAGAATAGAATACGGAATGGAAGGGAAGGGAAGAGAAGATAGAAAATAAAATAGAATTAGAATAGAATAGAATAGAATAGAATAGAATAGAATAGAATAGAATAGAATAGAATAGAATAGAATAGAATAGAATAGAATACGGAATGGAAGGGAAGGGAAGAGAAGATAGAAAATAAAATAGAATTAGAATAGAACAGAACAGAACAGAACAGAATAAAATAGAATTAGAATAGAATAGAATAGAATAGAATAGAATAGAATGCAGAATGGATTGGAATGGAATAACAGAGTTGGAAGGAATTTTCCCAAAAAGACAGCTGAGCGATAGCCCCATCCCAGAACAAGTTAGCAGCTGAGACATCATTCTACGTTACCCATTTCCCGATGGGCTGGTTTGACGTTTCCTTGTTTGCTTGTTGGTCCCAAAGATGCTTTTAAACGCAAGTGGACTTTCCCCCCACCCCCCTTCAAAAACATTTTGCTTCTCATTCAAGGAGCTTCTTCAGTTCTTTCCGTTTTCAAAGAGTAAAAAAAAAAAAAAAAAAAAACCAAGAAAGGAGAATATTTGTAACTGAGGGAGTCCTTGGCCCAGTTGTCCAGTTGCCTTTTTTTTTTGGGGGGGGGGAGCACCTTTGGGACAACCCTGACCTGGATGACTGAGAATTTCCATAAACATCTTGCTTTGCTTGCTTGATTTTATTCCTGGCCATTGAGGTAGGCATAAATGAAGCCTCCCTCCTGCCCCCCCCACTCTATAAACTCTGCCTTAGAGCTGATGAAGGACCCTCTACAAAGTGTCTCTCCCCCTCCCCTCCTTCCCATTCCTTGCCTTTGCAATTTGCAAGAAAAAGCTTATAGAAATGAGCAAAGCCATCGCTCACGGACCGGAGGTGTTAAGGAGAGCAAAAGAGGTTAGATCCGATTCCCTGATTCTTAAATAGGGCTGCTCAGTCCCTTCTTTTTTTTTTGTTTTTTTTATCTCCGCTACAAAAAAGGGCAGCTGGCCTCTTTTTTCTTCTTCCCCCTTGCTATTTTCTTTCTTTCTTTCTTTCTTTCTTTCTTTCTTTTTTTCTCAGAGGGGCTTAAATGGAATGGCCTTTAATGGTCTCCCCTTTGGGAAGGAGACAATTTTGGACCTGCTTCTTATTTTAAAAGACACACAGAGAGAGAGGGAGAGGGAGAGAGGCAGTTAAGTTCGCCCCTGTTCTGCATTTCTATGTCTTTTCATTCACAAACCAGCTTTGGGGCCACCCGCCTCCTTTTGGCAATGCCCTTCTTTGATATGGCAACCTGCGGAGCCCCCTTTGAACCTCGGTGGGAAAGTTCTCTCACTGTCCTCCTCCTTCTCCTTTTTTTTTTTTTACGACTGGGGGGGGAGGGAAGGGGGGGGAGAGGAGGAACCACACCACCACATTAAAAATAGTCCTGGGGAGGGGGGCCCCCCCAAAGCGGCCGAAGATTCTGGTGGAATGCCGTTTGTTTGTTTTTGTTCTCCCCTCCCTTCCCCAAAGGAGCCATTTGGACTGAGTGTGTTTGTCCATCTCCTTCGGCAAACGTGGGACAGCTCACAAATAAAACAGCAAATAAGCCCAAAGGAGGGAAAGTGTCTGTGATCTGGATCCCTAACCGAATAAGAGAGTGGGAAGGGGCCTTGGAGGTCTTCTAGTCCAGCCCCTCTCATACCGTTTCAGACAAATGGTGGTGCAATCTCTTCTTAAAAAACCTCCAGCTGTTGGAGTGCCCACAATTCCTGCAACTGTTCTTCATATGTTTTAACCTTCTAATCATCTTTTGTTTGTAGAGTCCCTAAATATTAGAGGCATCAATGGCTGTTGCAAAGAATAGAATAGAGTAGAGTAGAGTAGAGTAGAATAGAATAGAATAGAATAGAATAGAATAGAATAGAATAGAAGAATGAAGAATAGAATAGAATAGAATAGAAGAATGAAGAATAGAATAGAATAGAATAGAATAGAATAGAATAGAATAGAATAGAATAGAATAGAATAGAATAGAATAGAATAGAATAGAATAGAATGGAAGATGGAATACAGTAGAAGATTGAATAGAAATAGAAATAGAAATAGAAATAGAAATAAAATAGAATAAAAGAGTTGGAAGAGACCTTGGAGGTCTTCTAGTCCAACCCCCTGCTCAGGCAGGAAAGAAAAACTGGGATTATTTTATTTCTTTTCTCTCTCTCTCTCTCTCTCTCTCTCTCTCTCTCTCTCTCTCTCTCTCTCTCTCTCTCTCTCTCTCTCTCTCTCTCTCTCACTCTCTCTCACTCACTCACTCACTCACTCACACACACACACACACACACACACACACAACACATGCACTCACTCTCACTCTCTCTTTTTGTCTTTGCATCTATGGAAGGAGGACATTTAAGATTCAGTGTGCCCAAGACGGGACGTGGCTGGAAGGAGCGTGCATCCCTGTGACCTGTGAACCGCCCCCCTCCAAGTTTCACGGGCTCTACCATTGCACCAACGGTTTCCAGTTCAACAGCGTGTGTCAGATTCAGTGCAAAGAGGAGGACCCTCAACCTGTGAGTCTTGCTGAGTGATGGCCGGGCAGGAAGGGTTAAACCCCCCCCCCGCCTTTTCTTACCTTACAGGAAAATCAGGAGCCCACGTGGTCCAAATGAATACCAATGTATTGCCTGCTAACAGGCTTCGCCAGAATCTGAGGGACTAGCAATTAAGGCACATTAAAGGAGAATATTTGTAGCTCAGGACTGAAACGGGGAGGGGGGGTCCTTGGTGAAATCTGACTTTTGTTGTTTTCATGCAGATGTTTCGTTGCCCAAACTAGGTAATATCAGTGCTGGAAGGGAACGGGGCTTGTGGAAAGGAGGAGGAGGAGGAGGAGGAGGAGGAGGAGGAGGAGGGCGGTTGTGAGGTCTTTGGTGCTCTCAGAGCTTGGTGGTTTTCTTGGAGATGTTTCATTACCTGACTAGGGTACGTCATCAGTGGTAGAAGGGAATGGGGTCTGTGAAAAGAGAGGAGGAGGAGGAGGAGGAGGAGGAGGAGGAGGACTGTGGGGTCCTTACTGCTCTCTGAGCTTGGTGGTTTTCCTGCAGACGTTTCATGACCCAACTAGGTAACATCATCCATCAGTGCTAGAAGGATGCAAAGAGGGGGAGGAGGACTGTGGAGTCCTTGGTGCTCTTTGAACTTGTTGTTTCCTTGCAGACATTTCATTACCCAACTAGGTTATTTCATCAGGGCTAGAGGGGAATGGGGTTTGCAGGGAGGAGGAGGAGGAGGAGGAGGGCGGTTGTGAGGTCCTTGGTGCTCTCTGAGCTTGGTGGTTTTCTTGGAGTGCTTCATTACCCAACTAGGTAACACCATCAGCACTAGAAGGCAGAGGGGCTTATAGGGGGGAAGAGGAGGAGGGCTGTGGGGTTCTTGGTGCTCTCTGAGCTTGATTGTTTTCTTGGAGACACTTCATTACCCAACTAGGTAACATCATCAGTGCTGGAAGGGGTTTGCATTGATGACGTTACCTAGTTTGGCTAATGAAACATGTGCAGGAAAGCAACCGAAGTCAAAAAGCACCCAGGATTCCCCTTAAAGCTAATTGGCAGTAGATAACAGTCAATAGAATTCAAGGTGAGCTGCGCTTAGATCTCTTATGGGTGTGAAGGGACTCAAGACTGCTGACGCATTTGACCCCTCCCTCGGTCTCAGCCTGGTTATCTCCTGCACCACCTGCCCGAAACCCACAGTAGGCCCTTTGAACCAGTTAAGACGCGGATTAACCCAGGGTGAAGTCCCTATTTAATCCCGCCCGTTTGACCAGGAACATGAGGGCCATCTTCTGTCCTGGTTGAACTGGAGGACAATCGACCTGTAAGCAGAGTACTTACAATTCCTCGGAAACATTACAAGTTCAAGGCTGACCACCTCCGGTTGCAAACTCCCCCAATTTAAAAAAAACAAAAACAGTGGGTTTTTTTCCCCAGTGGAACTGGAGATAATACAATTTATTCTGCCCGACGGTGATGATTTCACCGTTGGTGTTTCCCTGTTTCTGCAGCCTGGATGTGGTGTGGCGGTTAAGATGTTGGACAAGAATCCTGGATCCATTCCTTTTCCTTCTTTTGTAGTGCTGCTTCGTTCTCCGGCCTACCGTCTCCCTTTCTCTTTCCAGGGCCAGGGAAATAACGTGATTCGTTGTCGCAAGGACGGCAACTGGAGTGGATCGTTTCATCTCTGCCCGGAGATGCAAGGGCAGTGTTCCGCGCCCATCCAGTTGAGGGGTGGCCTGAAATTACAATGTCCTGATGGCTCCGAAATAGGTATTTACACTACTTTCAGTTCCCATGAAGAACCTTAGTTGTGTCATTTAAGACGCACAAAAGAAGGGTAGTGGAGTCAGACTCTTCTTTGTTTGTTTGCTCGGCCTCGGTTGGCCCAAATTTCAAAACCAGAGCCGCAGTTCCTGAATCAAGTGGGAAGTCAGGATCTCAGGTGCCAAAAGATTCATTCATGGATGGAGCAGGTAAAAGACACGGGGTTGTCTCGCTGTCTTTGGTGATCTCCGTGGGCAACTTATCATGATGCTGATGGATGCTAACTCTGCCAGAGGGATGGAAATTAATCAAGGAGAGGATCCATCTAGAACTAAGGAGAACTTTCCTGACAGTTAGAACAATTCATCAGTGGAACAGCTTGCCTCTAGATGTTGTGGGTGCTCCATCACTGGAGGCTTTAAAGAAGAGATCGGGTAGCCATTTGTCTGAAATGGTATAGGGTTTCCTGCCTGAGCAGGGGGTTGGACTAGATGACCTCCAAGGTCCCTTCCAACTCTGTTATTCTATTCTATTCTATTCTATTCTATTCTATTCTATTCTATTCTACTCTACTCTACTCTACTCTACTCTACACTACTCTACTCTACTCTACTCTACTCTACTCTACTCTACTCTACTCTACTCTAGCAGGGGTTGGATTAGATGGTCCCTTCAAGCTCTGTTATTTTGTATTCTATGTGGTTTCCTCCCATTGCTTACTTCTCTGGGCAAAATAGCTGCAGGAATTGGGTATGTCTAGTGACTAGTCTAATGAAAAGAAGGACTAGAGTGACATGATAGCAGTCTTCCAATATTTGAGGGGCTGCCACAAAGAAGAGGGGGGCCAACTTATTTTTGAAAGCAGCAGAAGGCAAGACAAGAAGCAACGGATGGAAACCCATCAAGGAGAGAAGCAACCTAGAACTAAGGAGGAATTTCCTGGCAGTGAGAACAATTAAGCAGTGGAACAGCTTGCCTCCAGAAGCTGTGGGTGCTCCATTACTGGAAGCTTTTAAGAAGAGATTGGACAACCCTTTGTCTGAAATGTCATAGGGTTTCCTGCCTGAGCAGGGGGTTGGACGAGAAGACCTCCAAGGTCCCTTCCCACTCTGCTATTCTGTTATTCTAATCAGGCTATAGTGAATGAGATGCTCTCTTCAACAGACCTTAAAAGCTATCTTTACCCCAAATCATCTAGATGGCCCATGGATCTGTGCCTTATCTATGTTCTTGTGCAATGGATTTGCATGATGTACAGGGCTTTTTTTCCAGCCCTTTCTTCAGATGCCAGGAATTTGAGTCTGCAGACCCAGCTCTGTTCTTCCCTCGCTCGTTCGTGTCCATCTGGAAAACACATTTCTCCTTTGAACATCCTTGCTCAGGATGCTTGGCTATCAATAAAGGTGAACCCAAGGGGAGACAGCCCAGCCTAAAGAAGCGAGATTGTGGGTTCTTTTTTCCCCCTATCTCCCTTTTGTGCCTGGTTTTGCCTTGTTCGAACTGTCAGGAAAGCGGGGTTTCCCCCCCCCCCTCTTCCAGGTCCCCCTCCCATCTCTTCATTATAGACTAGCTAGAGTGGAGCACCACGATCGGCTCCCCACCGGTCCCAAGGGGAAAAGGCATGTGACCGGGATGAGCTCATCGCTCTGTAATGAAGCCAATTATGGATTGTATATCAACAACAATTCCAGGGCCGCTTTTTTCTCCTCCTGAAGTGTAAATTGCAGCACCAGCGAACGACGAGCAGAAAGAAGGCTCGGCCCCACGTTCCCTTTCTCCAGAAGACGCGTTCTGCCCCTGGAGACGGGGGGTGACCTTTTCGATATCCACCAAGGTTTGCCGGCACTTTGCAAAGAATATTTGACTTGCCAGGGAGGAAGGATTGGAGGATGAGGAACAAAAACAAATCCTGCTTTTCAATTTCGGGGGTGGAAGGAGGAGAAAGGAAGGCAGGGAGAAGAAACTCTAGTTATTTTGCCTCTTTGAAAGGTGGTTTGCATTGTCTGCCTCGAATGGAATGGAATGGAATGGAATGGAATGGAATGGAATGGAATAGAATAGAATAGAATAGAATAGAATAGAATAGAATAGAATAGAATAGAATAGAATAGAATAGAATAGAGAATGGGAATAGAATAGAATAGAGAATGGGAATAGAATAGAATAGAATAGAATAGAATAGAATAGAATAGAATAGAATAGAATAGAATAGAATAGAATAGAATAGAATAGAATAGAATAACAGAGCTGGAAGGGACATTGGAGGTCTTCTAGTCCAGCCCCCTGCTCAAGCAGGAGAACCTATACCATCTCAGACAAGCGACTGTCCAGTCTCTTTTTAAAAATCTCCAGTGATGGAACACCCACAACTTCTGGTGGCAAGTTGTTTCACTGGTTGATTGTCCTCACTGTCAGGAAGTTTCTCCTTAATTCCAGGTTGCTTCTCCTTGATCAGTTTCCAACCGTTGTTTCTTGTCCTGCCTTCTGGGGCCTTGACTTTTCTCATGGATTAAGAATTAAGCTTTTTGCCAGTTGGCATACAACGTCTTGGACTGCAGTGGTGAAAAATGAACAAGAGCCCCTTTCTAAAAGTGATTTTTAATATATATATATACATACACTGCTGTTATTTAACGATGGGATATTTATTTATCGGAGACCCTTGTTTGTGCCCAGAGAACAAAAATAAAGGTCATGGAGTGAGAGTCTTCTTTCCTTCAGAACCCTGGACAGGTCCTAAAGAAGAAGTAACTTTAACTGGGAAGAATGGATGGATCTGAGCCTTCCATCCAACTATTTAATTATTTTATTCATTTATGAAATTTCTACGCCCTCCATCTTCCCTACAAGTTGACTCTGGGTGGACTGTTAGAAACCAAAATGCTTTAACGCCTGGATCAGTCTCCTCCTCCTCCTCCTCCTCCTCCTCCTCCACCNCTCCTCCTCCTCCTCCTCCTCCTCCTCCTCCTCCACCACCACCACCACCACCACCACCACCTCAACAATGCATTGCTTGCAGCAATTAAGTAGATCTAGCCCACACTTTCTTGCAGATGATGCTTGCTAATTCCTAGATAGCATCCAACTTACTTCTGGATTTTTGTTTAGAATTTAGAATGCCATGTTTTGAGGTTGCTCTATTCAGGCTAACATCTGGGAGCCAGATAAGTATTAACAGAATAACAGAGTTGGAAGGGACCTTGGAGGTCTTCTAGTCCAGCCCCCTACTCAGGCAGGAAACCCTATACCATTTCAGACAAATGGCTGTCCAGTCTCTTCTTAAAAGCCTCCAGTGTTGGAGCACCCACAACTTCTGGAGGCAAGCTCTTCCATGGGTTAATTATTCTCACTGTCAGGAAGTTTCTCCTTAGTTCCAGGTTGCTTTTCTCCTTGATTAGTTTCCATCCGTTGCTTCTTGTCCTGCCTTCAGGTGCTTTGGAAAATAGGCTAACTCCCTCTTCTTTGGGACAGCCCCTTAGATCCTGGAAGTTAGGTATTATCCAATTGACCTCTAGATCCCTCTGTCTTCAAGTGAAGCTGCTCTTGGTGGATGGAGTCCTGAGGTTGGTTCAGATTCCTGCAAAATAATCCTACTGCTGACACCATTGTGCCTGCTTGGGCGGAGGATTGGACAAGATGACCTACAAGGTCTGTTCCAACTCTGTTATTCTGGTTCTGATTCTGTACCAACAAATCTTTGTGTTCCATGGGAATCCTGTTCTTTCTCTGTGGAGACAGCCCATCTCTGAATCTGGCCGATTTAATACCTCAAGTTAGACCTACGTTAGAGTATTTAATTCCTCCTGTTGGTCTCCTTTTTCCTAACCCGCTTATATCCAGGATTTTGCCTCCTTCCCAGTTTAGCCTGAGCATAGAGTCACCTCCTGAATTATAGAAGCAGGCGAATCGACCTGTTAGCTCTACTAGTTCTGTATTAACAGCTCTGCCTTTGGAGCTACCAACAGGTTTGACTGCTGTGTTGAAATCTGTGACTGGAGGCTATAAACTGCCTATTTTATGTATCCACAATAACAACACTGGGGGGAGGGGGGCAATTAAAATGGTAGGCAGCTTGCAGAATAGATGCTGTCGAAGTATCAGCCTCAAGGAGTGTGCAAGAGCCAGCGTTGTATGGGCGAGCCAATATATATAGATATATAGATATATAGATTAATCCTAGTTGAGATAGTAATGCATTGCTTTCATCTCATTCTTTTTATCATTTCAAGGAGCTGAATGCACCATCTTATGCCCAGAACATCATACGGAGCCCATCCTGTTAAGTGCCAACGAAACATTACAGGACATCCAACACTGGATGAAGCCCCCACGAGTGAAGGTAAGAGTCCAATCAAAAGACAAAGATGGGTTGGGCAAAATAGAGACCCAGTGTGGTTCCCATCAGTGGGTTCACTGCTTTTCAATGCAGTAAGTCCTTTCTTCTCTCCCCTCCTCTCTCCGCTTCCTTCATCCTTTTATTGCTTCATCTCTTTCCCTCTTCCCCTTCCCTTCCTTCCTTCCTTCCTTCCTTTCTTCCCCCCTCCCTTCCTTCCCTTCCTCTTCCATCTCTTCCTCTCTCCCCTTTCTTCCTCCCTTCATCTCTTTCCTCTTTTCCGTTCCCCTTTTTTTACTTCCTTCCTTCCCTCCCTCCCCCTTTCATTCCTTTCCCCTTCCCCTTTCCTTCTTTCTCTTTTTCTCTTCCTTCCCTTCTCTTCCTTCCTTCCTTCCCTCCCTCCCTTCATCCTTTGATTCCTTCAGCTCTTTCTCTCTTTCTCTTCCCCTTCCCTCCCTCCCTTCCTTCCCCTTCCCTTCCCTTCTCTTCCTCTCTCCATCTCTTCCTCCCTCCCTCCCCTTCCTTCATCCCTTCATCTCTTTCTCATTTTCCTTTCCCTTTGTTACTTCCTTCCTTCCCTCCCTCCTTCCACTTTCATTCCTTTCTCTTTCTCTCTTCCTTCCCTCCTCCTCCTTCCTTTCCTCCTTTCCTCCCTTCCGTCATCCCTTGATCCCTTCAGCTCTTTCTCTCTTCCCCTTCCCTCCCTCCTTCCCTTCCCTTCCTCTCTCCATCTCTTCCTCTCTCCCCTTCCTTCATCCCTTCATTTTCCCCCTTTCTTTTCCCTTTTCTCCTTCCTTCCTTCCTTCCCTCCCTCCCTCTCCAGTCACCTGCCACGGTCCTTTATTGATGCTTGCTTTTAGAAGGAACCATAACAGGTTTTATACCTGCCGTGTCCCTGGAGGTCTCATTAGATAGCTGGGAGGGGAAAAAAAATAACTGGCAATAAAAAAAGGAGGAGAAAAGAAAGAAAGAAAGAACGGGGAAGCAGACAGGGTTTGGAAGGAGGGGGAAGCCAGGGAGAGGATGATTTCATCCAGAATACCAAAAAAAAAAAAAAAAAAAAAAGAAGAATAGATTTTATTACGAGAACTTTGCTGAAGCTATAGAAAGGTCAGGCGACGTGACAATGAATTTGATCACTCAGTTGTTAAGAAGAGCCTCCTTGGATGCTGCTGGATAAAATTACAGGATGGGGACCCACTTTGCTGAAAGGCACGAGGTGTTTGTGTACAAGCCACACACTGCGGTGTCCCTGTGGCTCGTGGTGTTCTTTGACCTCAGTTGCCCTTGTTGTTCTTGACCTTGTTTGTCCAGACAATGATCGGTTCTATTTGTCCGGGCAAACCCCCTGAGTCTACAAACTGGCGCTTCTGAGGCCACCATTGCCACAACCCATGGTTGTTCAGGGCATGTCGGCTTAGCCAAGACACTTAGACAACGGCAAGAAGGGAGCAGAGGGAGAAGGGAGCGGATGTCTCAGAGGAGGCACCCAACATGGAAGGGGTTGGTACGGCTAAAAAAAGATCTTTATTTATCTGCGATCGGGGAGACATGAGTCATAATGGAGAGAAGCTGAAAGTTTATCGTAAGCTATCTGGAGGAGCTGAGGGTCAAAGAAAAAAAAGAATTGGATACTTATAAAAGAGAATATTTGTAACTCGGGGTTGAAATGAGGGGTTCCTGATGCTCTCTGAGCTTCTTGCAGACGTTTCATGACCCAAACTAGGTAATATCATCAGTGCTAATCTGGTTGGGTAATGAAACGTTTGCAAGAAAACCACCCAGCTCAGAGAGCACCAAAGAGTCTTCCTCTTCCTCCTCCTCCTCCTCCTCCTCCTCCTCCTCCTCCTCCTCCTCCTCCTCCTCTTCCTCCTTCTACTCCTCCTCTCTTCAAACTCACTCCCTTCTAGTACTGATGATGTTCCCT